AMAAAATAAACAWATAATTTTCATCACACAACTGTGACAATGAGAACAAATATCTAGATCAAATATCTAGATCTTGCAGAACATGATTCAGCCTGAAGATCATAGAGGTTTTACTGACAGAGGTTTTCTGAMTTTGCCATCATGCAGCCATGTCCTGATGGGTTGTGTGGGTTGTGGAGGATGGGGTCTTAACCTTGTGTGAAGAAGGTTTCAGTCTTTTTTTTAAGGTCACATCAATTCAGTCAGTTCAATCAGGAGAACCTAATGTATTTTCTTGCAGATCTGGTACTACACTAATGGGATCCTACGGGCGGCAGGCTTTGCTGAGGATTTACTCCCCTACATCACACTGACCACGGGAGCCGTAGAGACTCTGGCAGCTATCGTCTCTGTGAGTATCCCTGCCTTTCTAGTTAAAGCACACACTTCGCAGTTTAAATTGGTGTGAAAAGGCATGACTGCTACTTAGGACTATGATGACTAACACTGATGAAATGTGCAACTCAAAATAACAAAACAAAAAACAACACTTCAAAGTGCAGTTTCTGACATTCAGCACACTTTGATATAAAAAAGGACTCTAGTTTGAGGACACCAGTGTTGCAACTTTCTTACTTCCCAACACTCAAAAGTATTTGTTCATTAAACTTTTATGAGAAGCAAAGTTTTCTAGATTAGCCACAACATGCTGGAAGAAAGCACTGATGATGCCTCAGGGGTGACAATAGGGCGTTTTATTTTAATTACATTAGCTGAGCCTTCTGTTCTCCAGTAAAATTAAAAAAATGAAATAAAACAATTGAACATATTTTGAGATAGAGAGAGAGAGAGAGAGAGAGAGAGAGAGAGAGAGAGAGAGAGAGAGAGAGAGAGGTGTTAAAGTACCATCAATAAAAGCTGCACACAATCTTTCAGACATCAGTCAATAATTTGAAGTAGTTATTTTAATTATTTTTAAATTCTGTTGGATTAGTTGCATGGTGGTTTGCCATTGATCCAAGTTATAGTAAATGAGGAACAACTGTGTGAACTATATTAGTCACTCATGCAGTAATGTGCAAATTCAAGAGCAGAGTCTTTGTGTTCCATGACTGCAAAAAGTAGGGCTTAAATGCTGCCTAAGGGAAGTGTTCTCAGCAATAAAAACTGGGGGGAAAACCATGGGGCAGAATCAAATTACTCTAAAGGGATTATAGCAAAAGCACAGTTTAGCATCTGTTCATATTTCAGAATTAGCACCAGTGAAAGTGCCCAGTTTTGTGATTCGGACTCCCAATCTAATTGAACAGAAATGTAAATGTAAAATATTACAGCAAACTGAGCAGTTTGCCAAAAGCAAATTAGCACTCATAATATTCTGAAGCTTGTACTTTATCATAAACACACACACAACTTGTTTCTCACAAACATGATCACTTGTTGAGGTACTCAAWGTGCACCTCTTTGGCTCAGATTAAATAATGACGGTAGTTCAAGTCTAATTCGATAAACAAACTAAGATGAATGGCTTTAGATTTCAGTTTGAGTAAAATTGGTGAGATTCAATCAGCAGGAGCCAGAACACATGAATGAGAACCAATCCATGAAACCTTCTATAAACCTAATTATTATTTATAAAAAAAGACATTTTCCACTCACCTAGAAGGCAACTCTCACCATCTACTGTCTCCTGTGTAACGGGGATAAATGTGAAAAGCTTTATTTTCCCCCATTTAAGGCATTTTAAAGAACAGAAACATGCAGAGCAACAGTAGGTATTTACGGTGCCTGTCCAGTGACATTGTATAAAAACCAAAATCTAATGGCCATGAGATAAATAACACATGACCATGCAATAATTTTGAGCAATGCATGACGTTGGAGTCACATTTTGACTATGTTGTTTTTGTTTTTAACTGTTTAAAAGTAGCTTACACTACACTCATTATTATTATTATTATTTGGTGTACACTCAAAAACAGATGTGGTGGAATTAATTAAAAAATGTCAACTGTTTCCACTCAACTGAAAGTAAAGGTAACACATTTACTTTACATTGACTTTCAGTCAGTATAAAGTCAACATAAAGAAAATGCATTACCTTTACATAATGCAGCTAAATGGAAACAGTTGACATATATTTTAATTAATCCATTATATCTGTTTTTCAGTGTACTTTAATAAAAAATGGTTTGTAGTGTTCAAAAATTGGATGCCCAAATAATTAAGCTGTAAAACAAAATAGGTTTCAGTAAAAAGGTTTGATCGTCAGCTCTGAATACTTCATCTCAGGCAGTGCCTGTGTGTGTGTGTGTGTGTGTGTGTGTGTGTGTGTGTGTGTGTGTGTGGCCCTAAGTCTAATCAACACCATAACAAAACAATGGCTTCTCTCAACTCCTTCTGTAGCTGGTCACGATAAGCCTTCCGTGTCCCTCTTAAATCACAATATTTAATAGAACGCCCTGGTCACACCCGGGCGGTAACTTTTAGGTCAACATTAGAATGTAAAATAATGTTTCTCCTGCAGGAAAGTGAAGAAATGTATTGGGGTTTGCTTTAATTACACTACACATGGCATAGTCTTACTATAGGAGAACTGTAACAATCGTTAAATGTGACTGTTTTGCTTAAATTGATAAGATAGATACATGCTTGAACACAGATTCAACACAACTGAAATGTTAATCTGCATTAGAGTAGATTATCACTGTCTGGAGGCATGACTCCAAGTGGGTTAGGGACCCCTTCCTGATGATGTGATAAAATAGGCGGAGTCATGTCTCGAAGCTTTKTGTTATATTAAACTGACTTCCGGATGTTTGAGGCCTGAACGCGGTTCATTAAAAGCCTTCAGACCGAGCAGCTCTTAGGGTGTTGTATGATCTCCTTACTATTCATTTTCCATGCACTGGTACATGCTCTGTATGGTTCAAGCACATAACTTGGTAAACAAACATGCTTAACAATATTTTCTTTCAAGAGGGACACATTAACTAAGGGCTCGACACACGGGAGGCGACGTCGCTCGCTCTCCATTCATTTCCTATGGAGCCTGTGCGGTGAGGCAACAATTGCTTGCCCTCCTCCAGCCAAGCGACCGGTGAAAATAGTGCATGTGAAATTTYGCGCTCGTACACGTAGACGTGCACACGCGAACTTGTGACGTGACATTAAAGTTGAAAAATGTTCAACTTTTGTCGCTGTCGCTTAGCGTACAACCAATCAGCGAGGGTTTCATTGACTGACCAATGAGATGAAATTATGCTACACACTGCCGTTAGCTAACACTTTCACCAAGTGATTACTAAAAAAGGCAGCTTTGTGGGAATTTATTGGCACCAAGGTGAAGTTTATAGTAAGTTTTTCCTCATAAAATTGTATCTTGATGTGTGTTTGTTTTTCAATATCATTAGCATTGCAAGATTTGTTTAGTTTACATGTCCATAATGCATACCTGCCTTCAGAGTCAAGAACCAATCAAATTTCGTGAAGACAAGCGACCTGAGAGCGCGATTCGCAATGCAGCGATCGCTATCGCATCCCGTGTGTCGGGTTTCACCCTGGCTGCGATGACAGCCGTTAATCGCTGTAGTTTGTCGCTCCCCGTGTGTCGAGCCCTTAAGAAACGTGTTGAGTCGCTTCCTGTTTAGAGTAAATGATAACAACTGATCACAAAGTATAACRTATGACTGTTTCTAAAATTTAGTTAATCTGTCACAAAATTTCCTGCAGGTTAATCTTTCATAATCTATTCATGAGATGACAATGAACTTTTTACTGTGTTGCTGAAACACATAACTCTTCCACAACAAAGGCTTTGTGTGAGTGAGGAGATGGTTTTAGTGTTGAGCTTCAAAACAAGAAAATAAAGCTTTTGGGATAAAGACAACTCCATTCCTCACCTGTGTCTTATGCTAAGAATTACTTCATGCCTAACATAAGTGACTGAAGTATGTCATTCATTCTTATGGTAAAGTAAAATACAATTCTCCATATAAATAGTTTCTSTAAGGGAATGACTGCAATTATTATCTTGTAACCATGACATAATTATATCGTGGCCACAGGATAATTTTTTAAATCCAATGTCACCAGGCAGACTCCATAGTATAGTCAGAGATTCCAGGTTTTCTTAAATATCCTCTTGATAACAAAATGTCTTGATACTCATCCCTTTAATGTCTTCCTTTTTGGCATTTCAAACACATTTCCACAAATTGAGAATGTATTCCTTCAAACAGTCTCTCCTGCTGGCAAAAACTTGTGTGTCCTCCTCTCAGGAACTTAGAACAGCTTCAAACACAAAAGTTGAAATGTGTTTTTGGCATTTAATAATGATGCAATTTGCAGCAAACTGCATGTCACAAAACTAAATAAACAAACAGTTTAATAATATATGTTTATTCATATGGAGGCAGTTGCAAATTTAGCCCATAAACTCCCCTTTATCACACACAAAGCTTAATACAGCTTTTCATATTCAAGGTATGAATGCATGAGATGTTTATATTACAGATAACATAAAATAATCCTGGGAAGTGGTTTTAATGACAGRGACAGAAAAATGTGATAGTAAAAATGCTCAAAATCTGCGATGYGTGTGTTTAAAATGAGGTAGACAGGAAGCAGAGATGGTGTGTTGGTGCTGCACTGTTGTTCACGCCCACACTGGACCATATTGTACCAGCCATACTTGGCCCACTTGAACCTTGGCTCAGATTGTGCCCACAAGAGCATCAGGATCAGTTACATGGTCCCACCTAACAAACAAAAAAGCAATAATAAAACAGCAGAGCTTGCCCACAGTGTATTGTAGCATGTAATGTGAAAGCATCATTCATATCTGCGTCTGAATGCCTCCTGGCCTCATAAAGTCTCCAGGAGCTACAGCAGGAAGAATGCCTGACCTACTTCCCTTTGCAGTTTTAGAAAGCCTGGGCAAATGTTTGATCGTTATTTTATGCTGTTTGTTTAAAGAAATACATCTWACCTTCCTTAAAACACACCTTAAATAAAACAGCTGTTTTACAGTCATTGATCCACCTCTTATTCTACTAATATAATCAAAAGAAAGTCAAATTCTCTCAGAGGTGCTTTAGTTACTCCTCTATAAAAGCACTGCTTTTCAAAGAGAAGCACTTAACAAAAAGTAGTGGGAAATACTCCTGCTATCCTTCCTCATTTTAAAAGTGCAGTTCTGCCCAAGTGGGAATCTGTCTTCTTCTATAATTCCTGTGAGCACAAGAAGATTAAAGATGATCTTTTATCTGCAACAGAAGGGGGGACCTGCTGAGGGCTTTAACTGCCAGGTAGTAGCCTTCAAACACACACATTTTCTCTCAAAGCATCAGTTTGGCCTGCAGCAATTTCCCATCCGGAGCAGCCAACTCATCCAAAACAACTTTAGCTCAA